AACAGTGCCACGCGGCCTACGGGAGGGCATAGCAGGGAGCTCCTGGGCCGGGCAGGGCGCTCGGCAGGAGGGCGTGGAAGGCCCTCCCCTGGGGGGGCAGGGCTTCGGGGGACTGTGGGCCGTGGCGGCCCCCAGGCAGCCTGGCAGCTGGCGGACCCGCGGCGAGGGAGCCCCTCGAGCCATGGCGGGCGCGTCGGGTGTGGCGGGGGGCCGTGCGGGTGTGGGCGAGTGCGCCCAAGTGCCACGCAGGGCAGGCGGCAGCGCAGCGATGGTTACACATACACATACACATACACATACACACACGAACACACACAATCACACACACACACGAACACACACACACACGACCCCCCACACAAACACACGCACACACACGCACACACGCCCCCCACACACGCCCCCCCTCCCCCCCCACCCACACACACATACACACACACACGACACACGAACACACACACAAACACACACACACACACACATCCACGCACACCCACCCACAAACACACACACACACGAACACACGAACACACACACAAACACACACACACACACACACATCCACGCACACCCACCCACAAACACACACACACACACACACACGCCCCCTCCACACCCACATACACAGACACACGCACAGACACACCACACACATCCACGCACACCCACCCGCAAACACACACAAACACACACACACGCACACCCACCCACAAGCACACACAACACACAACACACAAACACACAAACACAAACACACACACACACACGCACGCACGCACACGCACGCGCACACGCAAGTACGCACGCACACATGCACGCACACACACACCGCAATTATTCTTCCTCCTTCGCAACATGGGGGCCACCGGCTGGTGGAGCACAGGCGGGGGCTTGCGGGCACGAAGCGCAGGCGTGCCGCGCGTGCGCTCCAACAGCGACCGTGTTCTCCCAGGCTGTGGGCGGGCGCTCGCGAGCAAGCGATGGGCTTTTCTCTGGGGCCTGCGGCCGTGGGGCGCGTGGCACACACACAGTCGCACAGGCGGGACACACTCACAACACGAGTGAGCGTGCACCTGGAACCCGGCAGGCCGCCCCAGTATGCGGACGGCCGGGGCCGGCTGCGGCGAGAGAGCGCAGCAGCGAAAGGGGCGAGACGTGACGGAGAGGAAGTACAGTCGGGCCGTGTCGTAAGGATGCGCGATGTAAGGATGCAAGGGCCTCGGACGCCCATTTCGAAGCTTCTCGAGCGCGGCGCGGCCAACGGAAGCGGCGGAGGATGGGCCGAGGAGGCAAGGATGCAGGGGTACCCTTGGGAAGGTTGCCCATCCTTGCTATGCGGGTCGGCTGTACGCGACGGCAACGACGGAGGGACAAGAGGAGGCCGAGACCGGGAAGCGCAAGGCAGGCGAGCGACAACGCACGACGCCGAGGGGGGGGCCCGACCGCCGAAGGCCACGCAGAGGCTTGGCCAACGCGTCGCTGCCAACGCCTCGAGAAAATCCGTCGAAGTGCCACAAAGCAGCGCGGCCACACTGCGAGGAGAAGGGCGACGACGCGAGGGGACGACAGCCACGCGCGACAAGCGGAGGCCGAGGCCGAAGATGGCGAGGGAGATGAAACGACGAGGGTCGAAGGAGGGGGCAGCGGGACGCACGAGCTCAGATTGCAATCGCGCGTGCATCGATCGTGCTCGAGCCGAGGCCGTGTCTTCCTTCGTTTAGGGGCAGGACACACACACACACTTTCCTCCGACGAGCCGAAGAGGTTCAACCAGCGATGGAAATTGTTGGGACGCCAACAGCTTGAACTCGCCTCATTGGAGGGCGCGTGGCAAGACTGGACCCCCGGAAGCGAGTGGCGAAACCAGGGCAGAACAACGAGGCGATGCAGGACTTCGCTCACACGCACACGTATTCAAACGCACACACACACACACACGAATGCATCCCCGAGCGCGCGCAGGCGCGTTGCGCGCATCACTCACAGAGAGAGCGCGCGTGCGCGAGAGCATGCGCGCGCGGGAAGGAGTGCGCGACGTCGGCGGCGGTCAGAGGGGCGGAGGGCGGGGAACGTACGGGCCCCCTGATCTGGCCAGCGTTGCACGTTCCCCCCCTGAGTGCCGACCACGGCATCCCAAGCCTGGTAGAATTAAACCGACAGCTCTGCCACGGCTCCCACACAGCTGCACCTGCTGCGCATCAGCAGGCACACGTACGCGCGCACACGAGCATGTGGCGGACTTGCGCGGCCGCGCGTCCTGAGCCGCTCTCGTGCTTCGCGCACGCCAGTTTTGTCCAAGAGCCACCTCTGCCAGGCTTGTCTCCACGCAGCCCACATATTCGTGCTCGTCCAACTGATCTTGAGGGTGCATCCCCCGCGAATGGAAGACCTCGAAGCGCAACTCACGCGTCATCTCCACACGGAACTCCAACAAAAAGGTCCTCTTGAACTGTGGGTCGGAGGTCTTTTTTGAGTTGGTCTCTGTCATTCCGATCTCAACCCAATCGGTGTCTTTGGCCCACTTGGAATATATCACTACGAAGGTGGGCCTGCTGCTAGGGAGGCCCTCGCAGCGCACCGTGAGCTCGACTGTAGACTGGATGTCCAGACACAGGAGCTGAGAAGGAGGGGCTACCGATCTCGCCACGGGCTCTTCGTCGGTATCCTTCCCGGACGCACAAACACAAAGTGGGATTAACGATCCCCTGAAATGAGGTTGATGATGATGCTTATGATGACGATGATGATGATGATGATGATGATGATAATGATGATGATGATAATGATGATGATGATGATGATGATGGTGCTTTTGGTGGTGGTGATGATGATGATGATGCTGCTGAAGCTGATGCTGGTGGCTATGCTACTGATGATGGTGATGATGACACTGGCGACAATGCTGGTGATAAGGATGATGATGGTAATGCTGCTGCTGATGATGTTGATGTTGATGTTGATGCTGAAGTTGATGCCGACGATGATGATGATGCTGCTGCTGATGATAGTAATGATGATGATGGTGGTGGTGATGATGATGATGATGATGTCCTCTTGCATCCCCCCCACGCGGGATCATTACGCACTCGGCCGCCAAGTATCAGGCACCAACATCTCACCAGGCAGTGAATGTGCCCAAGGCTGCCCAGAGCCGCCACTGCCAAGAACCTCTCGCCATCGCGCTGCGGCAGGTTCGTGTCGTGCCGATCTCGGCGTCGGTTTTTCTGACACCGCGTGGCTCGCTCAACCTCGAATGATCGCAGCTCTCCGATAGCGCAGGATCATTCGATGTTGGCCGAGTCTGCCACCAGCTGCGTTGCAACCTGGAACGCTCGCGCTCGGGTCGCCGCCGCGTCGACACGGCAAGAACCGGTCTTCTCAAAGGGGCCCAAAGACACAACTGCATTGACCCAAAATCCCAAGACCCCCCACGTTTTCTAACCTTGTCTGGGTTTTCATCTTCACCCCCACTTCCCATATCTTCCCATATTTTCCGGGAAGTCGACGATTAATTGTCTGTGTGTTTCTTCCCCCTCCTGACTTTTGTGCACTCGCTCCTCATCGATCTCCTCAGGCTCGTCTGCCTCATCATCGAAGAGGTCGAAGCCGCTCTGGCGCGCCAGGTCTTTCTCCAGGTCACTCTTGGCGGCTCCGGCCGGCCTCTTCTTCTTCCTCTTCCCGGAGCTCTGCCCGCCTCCCATGGGGGCATCACCTGGCCGGGCTACCCTGACCATCCAGGGGGGCGACAACAAAACAAGACATTTGAGTCCGAATTCTGGTCGAAGGTCCATCGATGCTGGTGGGTCTCCAGGTCTGGAGGGCTGGTTTTCCCGGCAAGGTCTCCGGCCCAGGGTTCTCTGTTAGCTTGCGGGACAAAGGACCTGTACCAGAAGGGCGTTGAGCAGCGGCGCCGAAGTGGACGCGTAAAAATACGTGTGCGGAGGGGGGGGGTCTCCAACCTGAATCTCGGCACGCGTGCGTTCGGCATGTGCTTTCACGCGTTTCGGGCCACGACGGGGCCGCAAGCGAGGGACCCAACTGGCAGGTGCCGAATTCTTGCGCCGGAGTTGGACACGTAAAAAGACGTGTGCGGAGGGGGAGGGTGTCCAGCCTGAGTCTCGGCACACCTGGGTTCGGCACACCTGGGTTCGGCACGTGCTTTCACGTGTGTGCCGAATCCTGCAACCGGAATTCGGCACGCAAAGGTAGGTCTGCGGAGGTGGGAGGGATCTCCAACGGGAGTCTCGGCGCACATGGGTTCGGCACGTGCTTTCACGTGTTCGGGCCACGGCGGGGCCGCAAGCGAGGGACCCAACTGGCAGGAGCCGAATTCTCTCTCACGCGTAAGAGGGTGTGCGCGGAGAGGGAGGGGAGCAGCATGCCCCTGGCGCGTGCGCGCGGGCGCACGTGTTTTTGGACGTGTCCACGGGGCCCAAGGGAGACCCAGCTTGGGGGCGGCGAGTTCTCTGCACGTGGAATTACGTCCGCGGAGGGGGGGCCCAACATGCGCCTGGCGCGCGCGCGGGGCATGTGTTTCCACGTGTTTCGGGTCAAGGCGGGGCCGCAGGCGAGTGGCCCAACCTGGGGTGGAGAGTTCTCCGCACGTGGAGACACGTGGGCGTGCGCGAAGGGGCGGGTGCCAACATGCGCCTAACAGGTGACAGGCGTCGCCGTGCAGGAAGGGGACGACGATGAGGAGGAAGGTGGAGGAAGGAAGATGATGGGGAGGGGGAAGGGGAAAGGAGCAAGGAGAACGAAAGAGGAGGAGGACGAGAAGAAAGAGGAAGACGAGGAGAGTGGGAGGAGAAGAGGAGAAGAGGAGGATGATGATGAGGAGGACGAGGAAGGAGAAGAAAGAGGAAGACGAGGAGGGTGGGAGGAGAAGAGGAGAAGAGGAGGATGATGAGGAGGACGAGGACGAGGAAGAGGAAGAGGACTATGATGATGATGATGATGATGATGAGGAGGAGGAGGAGGAGGAGGAGGAGGAGGAGCAGAAAGAGGAGGAGCAGGAGGAGCGGGAGGAGCAGGAGGAGCAGAAAGAGCAGGAAGAGCAGGAGGGTAAGCGAGACGCGCAGGCGGTAGCAGCTGCAGACACGCAAGCGGAAAGTGTCGATCGCGCGCCAAAAGAAAACTTGGCTCCGGTTCCTTACCGAGTTCGTGGATCCCTCAAATTGTCGCACCCTGTAGGTCAAGGTAGGAGTGGGAGAGTCGGGTCGGTCGAAAGAGGGGGACGACAAGGGGAGGTCAGCGAATCGGCTCCCGTGGCTGAGGTGCCGGCGCCTCCCCGCGCCCGGGGCGCCGATGTGTCGAGGAGGGCGCCTGGCAGCGGGGCCAGAACCAGCGGCGCGCAGCAGCTTTCGCATCCCCCTCCCTGCCCATTTTCCCCCCCCCCAGCTCGCCCGACCATCTATTGACGAGCGCGTTCCACTACTCGCAGAAGTAACTTGGCCTGGATCCGCCGCGGGAGATTTTCGACACACACTATAGAAGAGGAAAACAGGTTTTTTTTCAGGACGCTTGCGATTAGGCACCTTGCGAGATGTGGAACACGCCCGGTGAATGTAGAGAGGCAGGGGCGCGAGGGGACAACGCCTCCGACAGGCCCCGCCACGCCCTCGGAGTGTCTCCATGGAGGCCCGCGAAGGTGCACATGCCCCCCCCAGAGGCCCCTGGGGAGCTGCCGGGGAGCTCTGCCGACGGGCCCCCCAAAGCCCCGACCCCTTCCCCCAGGGGCCGGCTTCGCATCCTGAGTCGTTCTCTGACCGCCCGGGGGCCTGGCGAGGGCCTTCGGAGGCCGAAAGAAGGGAACAATCGCCGCGCTGTTTCAGGGAAGACGTGGGATGTCGGAGGGGGGGGGGACGGAGGAGACGGAGGAGGAGGAGGAGGAGGAGGAGGAGGAGGAGGAGGAGGAGGAGGAGGAGGAGGAGGAGGAGGAGCGAACGTCGCTTGAGAGAGGGAGCTTTCTTGTTGTGGATCGCGCTCAACGCAGGTACAATCAGAAGAGATCGCCTCCGTCGGATTCTTGATTGGAGTCCACTTCCGACCCACCTCAACGAGTTTTCTCTCCTTAAGCCTGGACGCGCGGCATGTCTCCCTCGAGCAGACCAACAGCTCGCAGCTCCGTCTCCCTCGGCGTGCCTTCTGCAGCAGCGTGCCAGCTCGGAGCCACAGTGGCCCTGACGCCAGGAGGTGGCGGAGACAACAATGCCTGGCTCAGCATCTCCCTGCCCTGGCCGGACGACGGACCTGAGAGACTTAGCGCCAGGTCACGCGTGGACGCTCTGTCATGGGGGCGACGCCCATTCTTGATGCGACCGAGCCTGGCTTTGATGCCCGCGCTGGCCGGTACGCCTTTGCACCTCGCGCGCGGCACCTGGCATGGCCTGAAATCGGCGCAAGACAGCACACTCATTTGTAATTCGGGTCGTTTGCAGTTCTGGTCATATCCGAGTCCGGCGACGAATTGAAAATGAGAGGCGCCACCGCGCAGGCTTGCGCCAGCGCGCGGGAGGTGTCACAGTCCACGGGGGCCCACTGATGAGGCGCGCAGGGGCAGCTGTGCTTGGTGCTGCCACGGACACCCCCCGCACACGAAGAGACACACACACACACAGAGCCACGCAACCATTCACTTCTAATCCCGGTCGTTTGCAATTCCAGCCGCGAGTTAAAAGTGAAGTGGGATGCCGAAGCGGGGGAATGTCCACCACACGATCAGACATGAATGCTCCGCACGCCCCGCACCGATAGCAAGCAGTTAATTAGCCTCTGCCCCTGCGCGCGGGGGGACTCCACCTCACCTTCGAGGAGGCCGTGGCCCAGGACGTTCAACGCCTCGGGGGCCACATCGGGCCATAGGAAAGCGCGCTGTGGAGCGCCTGGGAGCGCCCGGGGGCTCCTGGGAGCGCATGGGAGAGCCTGGGAGAGTGCCGGGGGAGCAGGCTGCGCCCAGGGTCAGAGGTCCCCGGCTGGGCCCGTGGACCGCCTCCCGCGCTGGTGCCACGGCAGCGCCGCACACTCTCGCTGGGCCCACTCCGCAACGTCGCGCCCAGCGGCCGCGAGGCTTTGGCTCACTGTTGGACCACAGGGCACGTGCAGGGCCGAGCGCCTGGGGGTCGGCGGGCACGGCGGGCCCCGACTTGTGGCCCAAGCCGACCGTGTCGGGCCGAGGGGCCTCTTAGGCAGCTCGCCTGCCCACTGCCCTGCCTCGCGACCCGGTTCTCGGAACCAACGCAACGGCGCGCCTGCCTGGGCATATGCGTCAGCACCAATATTGGCCCTTCTCTCCCACCGCGTGGTGCGGCCCTGGTCGACGTCCGTGGACGTCGCATGAGCCTCGGAGGAGGAGAAGGGAGGAGGAGGAGGAGGCGGAGGAGGAGGAAGAGGAGCAGGAGGGGCACCACCTGGCCCAGTACGGCGAGACCTGGCGGCCGGCAGCGCGGCTCATGCGGCGCAGTGTCTCGGCGCAGCGCGGTGTCTCTGGGCGCAAATGCCCTGGCCGCTCGGGCCCAGAAAGGCGGCAAGGCGCGCCCTCGGGCGGCGAGGCGGGCGCGCGCGATTGAAGATGCCGGTTGGCGTAGCGAGAGGGCTCGAAGAGCGAGGCTCGCATCTCGGACTCTTTCAAGGTAAGGTGGGCGACCAAAAGAAACTGGCCCTACGCATGATGACATAGCAACCTTGCGCACTGGCTTGCGCGGGCTGCCAGCGTGGCACACCGCGTGGAGAAGAGGGCGCCTACGCGTGACCTTGCGCGGGAAGCCTACGCGCGAGTGTCCACGCAATCGACTCCGTTTCCTTCCGTCGCTCAGGTGTTGGTTCTCTCTGCAAGACGCTGGGGGCCTCTGGAGCACGGCGAGGAGCCTGACCCCCGGGGCGTCTAGAAAACACCGCGCCGGATACTGCTTCGCCGTACCGTCGAAGGACGACTAAGAATGAGAATGGGTCGAAGAGATCTGGGGGCCCGTGTTGCGAAAGATTTCGAGCCGTCGGAGGCTGAGCGCACTGCCCACGTGGAATCAGGCACCATGGGCTGTGCCTTGAGCCAGGCGAAACCCCGAATCTAAGACCATCCACGAGACACACGTGGCTTCAGACCTCGTGTGCGCACAACTACTCCTCTTAATACAAAGACTACTCTACGACTTCGACTACGACTACGACGCCTACGACTAGAACTACCACTATTATTATTATTATTACTACTACTACTACTACTACTACTTATAATACAACTACTACTACTACTACTACTACTACTACTACTACTACTGCTGCTGCTGCTGCTGCTGCTGCTGCTGTTGCTACTACTACTACTGCTACTACTACTATTAATACTACTACTACTACTACTGCTACTACAACTCTTTCTATTACTACTACTACTACTACTACTACTACTACTACTACTGACGACGACGACGACGACGACGACTACTACTACTACTACTACTACTACTACTACTACTACTACTACTACTACTACTACTACTACTACTACTACTACTACTACTACTACTACTACTACTACTACTACTACTACTACTACTACTACTACTACTACTACTACTACTACTACTACTACTACTACTACTACTACTACTACTACTACTACTACTACTACTACTACTACTACTACTACTACTGTACTACTACTACTACTACTACTACTACTACTACTACTACTACTACTACTACTACTACTACTACTATTACTATTACTAGTACTACTACTACTACTACTACTACTACTACTACTGCTACTACTACTACTACTACGACTACAAGCTGGGAAAGGTTTTCTCTTGACGCCGCCACGTGGCCGAACGCCGGATACCAGCAGGCATTCTGTCAGTGGTGGCTGTGCCTCGTGACGTATACCATTCGGCACATCCCAATGTGTCTTGGGACCCCCCAGGGGGCATAACGTCACAAGTGTAATGATACCCGACACGTGTGTGAATTAATTTTTCTTTCAGTTCCATACACCACGTGACATAACTAACTCAATGTGTATCGGAGCGCCCAAAGCACCCGACGACGACGACGACGAAGACGACGACGACGACTACCACCACCACCACCATCCTCATCACCATCACCATTACCATCACCATCACTATCACCATCACCACGACCGCCACGACCACCACGACCACCATGACCACCACGACGACCACGACGACCACGACGACCACGACCGCGACGACGACGGCCACGACGACCGCGATCACGTCCACGACCACGACCACGACCACGACCAGGACCACAACGACGAGGACGACGACGACGACCACCACCACCACCACCACCATTACCATCACCATCACCATTACCATCACCATCACTATCACCATCACCACGACCGCTACGACCGCCACGACCACCACGACCACCATGACTCGCTGCTGGTTCCATTGTTTTTGGGCGGGCGGGGAGCAACGGAGGCCCGCTGACTCGCCGCTGGTTCCCTTGTTTCTGGGCGGTCGGGCAGTACGAGGGGCCCGCTGACTCGCTCGACATTTCTCTTTGCTGCATCGGCGATACTGCTCCTCGTGTGTTCGCGTCGACGTTTTCGCGGATCGCGCTACTTCGGGCCGGAGTGGGCGAGACTGATTGGGGGGGACGGACTCGGGGCCGCCCTCTGCAAAGGGCACCTCATCGAGCGATCGCTGAAGGGGAAGCGGGGGGGGAGGGGTGAGTGAAACGAGGGCGGACGTGTTGGAGGAGGAGGAGGAGGAAGAGGAGGAAGAGGAGGAGGAGGCAGAGGACGGGGGAGGGAGGAGGTAGGTGCACGAGGAGGAGGAGGAGGAGGAGGAAGAGGAGGGGGAGGAGGACAATGAGTATGTGTAGGGTGGAGTCTGGGCTTGCCCACGCCCGATACCGAACAAATTGCAGATATGTCTCCAGATACGCGCGCAAGATGCCAGGTCGAACCAGGAACGTTTGTCCAAAACAGTGCCGAAGCTGCCCCAAACCAGGAGGACATCCGAGCGAAGCG